CCGATGAGCCACCAGCCTGCCGTTCTCGGCGGCAGGGCCACATCTTCTTCGTCAAGTTGGCTACGCGCCTCTCCGAACCTGATCACCCACGCATTCAAATCCTCTCCGGCCCGTCGGTGCAGCTGCTTGTAGAAATAATTCATCACCTGCCCTCGTCTGGTCGGCTCGTCTACCCCCATCGTCGCGAGCACCTCCATCAGCCTGTTGATGCCTGCCATCATGTCGGGCTCCTCCCAGTGCCCGCGCCCCTCCTCGGGGTTCTCGTCATCCTGCTGGGACGCTTCCGCCGCGTCTGCGTCCAGCTCCTTGTCCTGTACCCACGTCTGCAGGGCTTCACGCAGCTCGATCATCGTGATGGACTCACCGAGCGTCTTCGCGGGGCCCGTCAAACATCTCACCATCCGGGCAGCCCATGACCAACTCACATCTAGGTTGATCCCTTCTATCCACAGCGCCACGTCCTTCGTGTATCGCCGCCACGTCCCTTGAGATCCGCCCCAAGACGGGATGCCCGCTAGGTCGCGGCTCGTCCACTGCGGCGCCTGAACCCAGCTCTTTGTAGTGCGCCTCTGCCGCGACGAACCGCCTCCGTTGTGCCGCGCCGAGGACTCCACCGCCCGTCGCCGGATGTCGCCGCGGAGTTGATGTATATCTCATCACTCCCGTCGTTGTACTCGTCCGTGTTCACGTCCTTCTCGTAGCAATCGTTCAGCGTCTGCTGCCGTCCCCTCGAAACTGCATGCAGCTCGCTCGTTCTCTCTCTGTCGCCTGGCGCGCCAACCGGCGCTCCGCTACCACTGCGGAACCGAGGGTATCAGCAGCGCCCTCCCTTTCCAGTTCCACAGCGGGATATGGCGGCGAGCGCGCGGCAGCGCTAGGGGGAGATGCGACTTTACTCGGTCGCGCGCTCCTGCAGCCAAATCGTCTCAAGCCGGCTACGAGCCAAAAAGCATCGGTCGAGCGAGCGAGAGGAGGATAGAGCGAGAAGTGAACAGAGCAGGGGGCGAGTCTGGGCCTGAGGGCCGCGTTTTTCAACAGTCAAGGACACCGTTAGTGAGATCAGTGCGAAAGCGAGCTGGGCGCCTCACGCCAGCTCGACTTGCTGCAGGAGGTGCCAGGAGTTTCGCTCCAACTGAACGAGATGCCCACGGTGGAGCGTATTCCCCAAGCGTTGTCGGACAGGGACTGGCAGAAAGAATTGTGCTCGTGTCTTGTTCATCCTGGCGCTCATCCGGAACTGGAAGCACGCTACCACGCAGCGTATACATCTCGTGTCTGCTCGCGCCTCTTGGCGCCACTCTCAAGCATGCAATTCTGCGATCAAGAAGGGGCATCAGATCTCCTTCGAGGACCTGCGCAAGCTGCAGGGGGTCATCTTGCTGCTACGGTCGCGAATTTCGGCTGAGTGTGTCGCTCCCCCCGGCGCGACGACAGCGACGCCGAGCCCGGCGCGCCTGGGCTCGACGCCCGATGCTCGACGCCACTGCCGGCACCCAGCCCTGTGCCACCCCCGCCCGGTCCGCCGCCCACGCCGACGCCCCCGCCCGCCCCCCGCCCGTTAGTCGAGGCGTTGCGCGGCGTCCATCCACGCCGCCCGCCACGTCAGAGGCTCACGCCGACGTTTGGGGCATCGCGGACACGCGGCCGCGCGTGAACTTCCCGCCCGCCCCCGATGCCCCCCGCCGTTCCCTCGCGGCGACGGCCGCGGGCGGCCCCGGCGCCGCGGGCAGCTCCAGCGCCAGCTCGCGACGGAGAACTCCTCGGCCTGCACGGCGCGAGTTCCGGCTACTCGCCAAGAACATCTGGGCCGCTTCGCCAGACACCCGCGTCCAGTGAGACTCGTTCGCCTCGGACAATAGGAAGCAGGGCAAGGGGCGGGCGCGCCCTGAGGATGTTCGAACTCCCGCCCTGCCCAACTTCCTCGGCTCGAGAGGGCCCTCGTGGCCCGGGTCAGGAGGATGCAGCAGATAGGCGGTGAAACTGAGGCGGCCTGGCATAGGTTCTGTGCTCGGCGTGGAGGTGGCACCCGCGACCCCAGCCTGTCACGACGCCACCTCCCTCCGCCGCTTCCTCCACCAGTGCGAGCCTCTGTGAACCAGACATACGCCGCCGCTCCAGGGCGGCCCGTCTGCGTGGGCCAGCGGTCAGCGGCGCACTCGGTCCTCGCGGTCTGCGGCAGCTGCAGCGACATTCGCGCGGACTGGGCATGGGTCTGGCATCGCCCGCGCCACAGGGACTTCACGGCCCAAGGGCCGCGGCAGCGGCAGCCCGGGCAGGGGGAAAGGTAGCGGCTAGCAGGGGGAACACGACGCCGTTCCGATCCTGCTTGGTCCGCAAGTGGCCCTGCCAGGGTACGCGGCCGATAGCGGCGCACTTGGCCTGAGAACGACCGAGCGAAGCCACGCTTGCCAGGCCTGCCGGGCCTATGAGGCGCCTGCCTGGACTGGGGCTCAAAGCAGGGCCAGCCGACCCTGCCCCGCGTGGGCCCACACTCCAGAACAGTGCTCCCCCCTGGTACCGCACCAGGTACTCCAGATTTTGTAATAAAGGGAGGGGGGTCTCATTTCGGGGGGGGTCTCTTCCAGGCTGTCTTGGAGGGCCTGGGGGGGTCTGGGGACGATGTTTTGGAGGGTTCTCCTTCGGGGGGGGGGTCTGAAATGGCTTGTCTTGGAGGGTCCAGACCCCCTCCCTTTTATTACGAAATCTGGAGTACTTGTGCTGTTCTCCCACATGCTGCGCGCCGTCCTTCCCTGGCGATGCGCAGGCCTGGTTCCACAAGGCGTTGCACGGATCAGGTGCGCTCAGCTCTGCCACGCGCTGTCTGCCGAGGCGGTGTGTGGCTCTCCTCCTGTTGGGCTGCCCAGCTTCGGCGACTACAAAGGGTGTGGTTACGCCAGGGTGTGGTTTGCGATCGGCGCCGTGGGGGCCTGGAGGGCACGACACTGTCCTCGTCGGGCCTCCTCGGGGCGCGGGCGAGAACTCTATCGAGGCACCCGCCCGCCCCTCATGGTGCTTCCAGGGTGCCGATTGCAAACCACACCCTTTGCAAACCACACCCTTTGGAGTCGCCGACAGCTGCCCCCGCCCCTTGCCAACCGGGCCCCCCGCCCCCCCTGGTCCTCAGGGCTTCGCGGCCTAAGTTTTTCAGGAGGGAAAGAAACACAGACACAATGAATCGTCGACCCCCCAGAAAATTCAGGAAAATACGAGAAGTGGGGGGGGGAAGACAGAAACCCAGAAAATATTAGAAAATATAAGGGAATATTTTTATTCGTGTACTTAGTTGTGTGTCCTGGGGCCCCTTCACTGGTCCTCAGGGCTTCGCGGCCGAAGTTCTGCCGCTCCGCGGCGCAGCCCCATGGCCCAGCTGGCGCTGCACGGCCGTGGGGCTCCTCGCGCCTGAGTCGCCGCGGGCGCTGGGTTGCGGGCCGCCGCCGCCCCGCCTGCTGCAGGGGGGTTCCCGCAGGCGGGGCGCTCCTCGCCCCTTTCCTTTCCTCTCCTCCCCTCCCCCGCCTTTTTCCTCCAGGAGGCTTACAGACCACGCACTTCTAACCCAGGGTAGGGCCGTTTTTCATCCCTCAATGTACCTCGTACTGAGCATCGGCAGCGCCCGTGGGTGCACCGACGCCGCGGCCCGGCTGGTGCCGCAGCCCCCGCTGCCGCTGCTGGCCGCGCTGGCGCATTCAGCTTGGGATTCTTCCGCGTCCGAGTGCCCTCCGCCTTCTCCTGTCCTTGGCGGCCGCCCTGTGTGTCTTGCTTCCCCTCTTCGCGTATGGGTTGCCCCGGATCGCTGCTCGTCGGTGCAGTTCTGCTTCGCCGCTGACGTGAACAGTGTCGCTCCGCCGGTTCTGGCCCATCACGCTTCGGCGCGATATGCTATCCACGGTCCAGTCCCCAAGCGTCAACATTCACCACCCGCCAAACCACCCCAACCCAACCCGAAGGCCTCCATTTGCCCTCCATTTCCAGTGGGGGGGGGGGTCGGGGAACGTTGAAAAAACACGTATGGAACCCATACCCCCCCCAACCCGAAATTCGGGTCAAATTCGGGTCTTCGGGTTGGGTTGGGGTGGTCTGGTAGGTAGTCGATATGCCATCCACGTTCCAGTCCCCAAGCGTCAACATCCCGAGGTCTTCGGGGCCCCCCGCCCCAGGGAGCGGAGCGACACGCCAGGCGCTCGCATGCCACAGCGTGTCGCTCCGCGGCCGCCGCCGCGACACGCGAAGCAGCAGTTCGCGTCCGCAGTGTCCATGGCGGTCATGATATCGCCGCGCGCGGACGGCGATGATCGGAGGGAGGAGAAACGACACCAACACTACCAGGGGGTCCACCTCCGGCGAAGAGGTCCCGAGCTGGAGGCTGGGAATGTCTCGAGCGAGAGGGGGGACCACACCGCCAGGGCGACCCCCTTTGTCTCCTCGCATCTCCTCGCCCTACTGGTGTTGGTGTCGTCTTACCTCGTTCCTAAATTTGGCGGCAGCGCGCCGATGCCCTCCCCCGCGACGAGTCGCCGGGGGGGTCCACGAGCCGAAGCCGGCCGGGGCGAGGGCGGCGGCCGCGCGGGGCCGCCAGGCCGTGGGCCGCGGGTGCCCTCGCCCGCGCCGAGCGCCGCGGAGCGAAGCGAGAAGCAAGTCGCGGGGGCTCGGCCGCACAGAGGAAGGGCCCGCAGGGCCGGGCCTCGCTGCCTGCTCCTCCCCAGTTGGCGCGGGCCTCGGGCCTCTGCGCCCTGCAGGTGGTCGAACAAGTGGGGGAGGGCGTCATCGGCTGTGAGGCGGCCCCGGAGGGTTCAAAGGGGCTGGAGGACTTCCTCCTCCGCCTTTGCCTCCTCGCCCCCTCCCCGTCGCTCCCTAATTATCGCCATCCTTCCCCCCGCCTGTCCCGCATTCGCCACTCCTGCCACGTTCTTGTCTTCTCCGCCGGTGTCCTCGGATGGTGTGGTTCGACGATGTGGAGGCATTCTTGCATGAGTGGGGGGAGCTTCTCCCTTCGCCCGCGACAGGGAAGAAGATCATGTTCATTCCGCGACATACTCGCGATCGTATTCATCATCCTATGGAAGGCCCGCGGCATGGTGTAGGCAAAATACAAGCAGCCTTTGTTGCAGCAGCACGCAAAGCAGCTTCATATTGCGGCCGCGGTTTGAATATCATGTTGCCCGTCGGAGGAGGGACGGAAGGGGGGTTGTTGCGCCGCCGCCGTCGTCCTGACGGTTCGGCGAGATCTGAGTTGTTGGAGGCTTGCCCCCCCCCCCCCCCCCCCCCGACGCACCAAAATCGTCGCACGTAGTAGCGTTTGAGCGCCTTCCACCCTCCCGAGCTCTCGTTGCGCCAGCTATCTTTTCAGCCCGATGGTGTTGTGGCCCCTGCGTCGATCGCAGTCCCAGCTTAGATATAGCAGGCTACGACGGACGCCTCTGGGGTAGCCATCTCGGGTACTCTTCTTCTTACAAACCACAGTTGTCACAGTTACTGTCGGTGTAGACTTCCTTGCAGTCACCTGCAGTACACGCACGGTTGATGTTGTTCCATATGTGTTCCGAAAAATGTTAGCACAGGTGTTGGTGTTCCCCCCCCCCCCGACGTCAACATCAAACGTCATGTACGTGTGGCATGCAGGTTTGCCAGGCGTTCTCGCAATGCGGAAGCCGAGCTCCATCATGTTCAGCATGTTACTGTCCACGGTTTGTCTGGACAAAGCTGGTTTCAGAGTTCCATCATGCTCTCCGTTTCTCTTTCCCATGATCGCCGTCAGCGTCGAGAAACAGAAACCTTACCATTTCGCAAATCCCCATCGGGTCCGTCCCTCTCCTGTCTTCTCTCCTCCTCTTCCTCTTTATCCTCCTCCTCCTCCTCCTCCTCCTCCTCCTCCTCCTCCTCCTCCTCATGATCACCATCATCATCATCACCATCATCCTCATCATCATCAGCATCGTCTTCAGATCCTCAGCACCATCATCGTCATCATCATCATCATCATCAGCAGCAGCAGCATCATCATCGTTCTCTCCTCCCTCCCCTCGCCTCTCGTCCTCCTCCTCCTCCTTGTTCCCCCTCCTCCTCCTCCTCCTCCTCCTCCTCCTCCTCCTCTGTCCTCCTCCTCCCCCACCGCCTATTCCTCCTCCTCACCCTCCTCCAATCTCCTCCCATCATCCTATCCCCCCCGTCCTCCTTATGTTCATCTTCCTCCCTCTCCTCCTCCTGCCGCCTCGTCTTCCTCTCCTCCTCCTGCCTCCTCCTCCTCTTCCTCCTCCTCTTCCTCCTCCTCTCCTCCTCCATCTTTTCTCATCCTTCTCCCTCCTCCCCCACTCAGCCGTTCTGACTCGGGCAGTTGCGGGCCCGAGCTTTTTTGTCGCAAAATTCGGGAGTGGCGCTGTGTAACAGGCCGAGTTGGCGTACATTCGGCCCCCCTCTCTGCCAGGGGTTTCCCCGATGCCCCGTGGTGGAAGTCAACAGTGTCGACCAATCCCCCTCGTGTATGGGCTTGTTCGACATGCGGATAGGGGAAGAATATGCTTCACCAGGCCAACTGCACGCACTGCAAGACCCACTGGCCGCCGGAGGGCGCGAGTATTTCCCAAGCTGGTGGGTAGGCTACTCCCAAGGCAGGTGGGCGGTATATTTCCAAAGCTGGTGGTTGGCACGATGGTCGCAGGTTGGCTCTTTCTCTAGGGCTTCAATTTCCACCTCGCATCTCAGGCGGAGGAGAAGAGTCCGCCGTCCTAGTCCTTAGGTCGATCCATCAGTGAGCAGGACAGCATCGCCTCCATTGCCGCCTGGCAAGGCATACACAAGCTCGGTCGGGTGCACCATCTGGGGAGCAAGAGGCTGCAGGCGAAGGTGCGCCCACCCACCACAACCAGTACCGATTACGTTCAAGATGCCCCAGGTGGCTCGCAGAATCAAGGCCTTCGATAAGAAGCTGGCCGAGGAGCTGTCCAAACCAAGTCGGCGGCGAAACCCATCATGAAGGGGCATGCCAACAGCTGGCTGACGACATGGAGGCGGCGGACGCCGAGAACCGTGAGCTGGTCGCTCAAGCCCACAGTGGTGTAGCCGACGGCCCCCCCCCCTGACATCATGCCACTGCCGACGGTTTCGCTCATAGCATTGGTTCGGGGGTGGACAGAACCCCCAACAGTGACACGTCGATTAGTGAATTGTCCGTTTTCGGTTCTCGAGAGGGCGCCGTGGCCGTTATTTTCCAGGCTTGCGCCCGCCAGGTTTGGGCCTCAGGTCGTTTTCACTAAACCACGTTTTACTAAAGGGGTGTCTGTCCATCCCCGATTGGTCGAAGGCGACCCTTTGCGATCTCCATTAGGCGACGACCCCTTCATCGGCGAGGATCTCTCTGCACGGGATCAGGCGGCGTATCTGCAGAGGAAGGACGATCAGGAGAGGGGCTTCTGCGACATATCCCAGTAGCTCCTCTCGGCAGCGAACGGGCGCTTCACCAAGGCGTGCGATGAGCACGAAGCTTTGGTCACCGGCTTGGCCGCGAAGAAGAAGAAGAAGAGGATCGGCATCGACAAGGCAGACGTGCAAGCTGGAGGCGTTCCTGGAGGTGCAGCCGGGAAGCCTGGGGCCGCCCCTGAGGCGAAGCTGGCTGCTGAAGCCTCTGGGGGAGCGGCGACCTAGAGCTCGGGGTTCAGCGTCTACGGGCGCTAACGAGCCAGACGTTCGCCAGCGTGGCCAGGCCATTCTTCGTAAGTCAGGTCCACCAGAGCAGACGTTTCTTGTGTCCCCCTCCCCCAAAGGATGGGGAGGAGCGACCAGGGCATAGTCTCACCAGTAATGCTGCAGTTGTGCCAGGTTTTGAAAGGGACGTCTCGCGTCGGGAAGCCCCTTTTTGCAAGCTTGGCTGTTCCAGCACCGAGCATCCTGATACGTATCATTATTGTTAGCCGCGCTGTTTGTCTCTCGAGGTTTGAGAGGCCACCCCCCGCATGGTAGGCTTGAGCTCGTGGTGACGAGTGCAAATGTCAACAACTGGGCTTCGATGAGGGATTTGATCCCATCCTGATGTAACTCGCACATGCAATGTTGTTTCAGGAAAACCGCAGTGATGATCCTGACAGTCCTGGTAGGGCCAATTCGTACTGCTTAGACCAAGGCTGCAAGACTATCTGGAAGGCCGCCGATCGAATGCCTGAGGGGGACTCGTCTGGAGGTGTGACTATTTTGGGCCAGAGACTTCATGGGCATGCACCCACTGGAGAGCGGGAGCGGCATCTACCCTGCCAGGGCCGTTGGAGCCCACAACGCTCATCTCGTGCTATGGCTTCGACATAGAAGGGGTTGTCGATCGTCAGCTTGACCACTGGTCGGGAGTTCGTAAAAACCGACTGTCACCCAAAAATTGTTTAAACCTCAATTTCATAACGAAAAGTAATACGACCTAGAAGCTCCACATAGTAAGTTCAAGGCCTATGTGTTCGCGTATAAAGACCGCGCTTAAGGCTCATGGACCACCCCTTGCGCATCACCCCTGGCTTTGCGACACGGGCGCGTATAGAGGCCGCGCTCACGGACCACTCCCTGCGCATCCCGTCTGGTGTCGAGAAAGCGCCGCGCTTACCAGCCCTTGCGGCATTGCCTCATATAGAGGCCGCGCGCAGGGACCACTCCGTGCGCACCCCCTCCGGTGTCGATGCAGCGTTGCGCGTGCTTTGCAACACTGGCACGCGTAGCGCCCCCACCCCCTGCGCACCCCCTCCAGCATCGAGATCGTGCAGCGCCTGCGAGGCTTTGTATCACAGCCAGCGCTTCGTGGCCTCATGGGGAGGTCCACCGAAGGCCCCAATGGCAAAGTCCACATGCGTTTCCCCCACCACAGGCTGTGTTTTGATGTGGTCCGGCAATCGTTTTGATCCTCCAGGGCTGACCTACTTTACGGATGCATCCGGTCACTGTGCTGCAAATGCAATCTGGACACAGGTAAGAGCACTGGCCAAAGGGCATCAAGCGTGGTGCCTCTGTGCCAAGTGCGGCCTGCACCAAGACACTCCCTTTCACTGGTTGTGGGTCTGCAGTGCCAGCGAGGAGGAAAAAGCCTTCAGGAGATCGAGGAGGAGCTCACCCTTGAGGCTCTGGAGGCCATCGGGCCGAACTCGCCCGATCTCATCGCGCACCTCATAGGTGCGTTCCCTCACCCTGGCGACTTGGTGTCTGAGCCCCTGGCCCAGCACCTGAGACAAGGCGTGGTCTTCGAGGACTTCAGATGTCCAGGTGTTGGCAATGAGGCTTTGGGCAAGGGGGGGATCATCTCGGGGACATTCTTCTGGATGGCAGTTTTGTTCCCGTCGGTTGCTTCTGTCGTTCAGGATGGCATGCCCGCCCCAGCGCGGGACACCGGTCTGGATGCAAGTCTTTCCTCCCGCTGCTGATGTCCATCCTCGTCTTCCTTCCTAATCCTTCTCGTCCTCCTGTTCATCCTCCTGCTCATCCGCTACCTCCTCCTATTCCCTCCCCTTCTCCTTGCGCAGCTCTCCTTTTCCGATTTCGCATCGTACTGTGGATGTCTTGGGGTGAATTCCGCGTCCGTTTTGGCACGCGTCCGCGGATATCTAAAAATCAACGCAATGGGAATGGATGGCTGGGAGGGGTAGGATGCCAGATCTGGCGCGAGCTCGCCTACCTTGCCTTTTCCTCCTCCTCCTCCTCCTCCTCCTCTCCTCCTCCTCTCCTCCTATTCCTCCTCCTCCTCTTCCTCCTCCTCCTCGTTCTCATCATCATCATCATCATCATCATCATCATCATCATCATCATCATCATCATCATCATCATCATCATCATCAGCATCATCATCCTCATCCGATTTCTGCTCATCTCCTTCTCCTCGCATCCTCCCTCTCCTCCTCTCTTCCTCCCCCTGCTCCTCCTCCTCCTCCTCCTCCTCCTCCTCCTCCTCCTCCTCTTCCTCTATTCCTCCTCCTCCTCCTCTCCTTTTCCTCCTTTCTCCCTCCCCTCCTTCCCCCCATCCTTCTCCACAGCTACAACGTTTGAATCATGCGCGGTGGTGCCGCTGCCTCTCCCGCGGAAGGTCTGCACGCATGTTTCGATCGAATTCAGAAGGAAGAGTTCGTTGCCAGTATGCGTATCGATCGGAACATACATGACCGGCCCTCAAAGATCTGTGCTCCCAAAGCAGCGTGTTGGTCACATTTCAGGATCGGTGTGGTGCCCTGTAGTTTCCCACTGCTGTCTCGCCCCATGTGCGGGCCACAATTCTGGATCCTTTCCTTTCTCGTCGCTGCCGCCAAACCTTCCTGCATTGTGCAAACGTTCTGGCAGGCAGAGATGACTTCAGCGAAAGTGGGAATTGGAAGGGATGCCTGTGAGCGGTAGGTCGTGTGGGAGGGGGCGGGGGGGGGGATATCGTCACGCTTTTCTCTGCTGCAGACAAGCTGTTGGCGAAGGTGCCGCGCCAAAGTGTCCTGTGCAGTCGGGGTCCTGAAGAAGGAACCCTTTCCGTTGGAGAGGGGCTCGGCGTTCCTTAATTGTTCCACACCTTGCCCAAGGGTTTTTTTACGTTTCCGAAAGGAAATCGAAGTTTAACTTATGGAAAAAAGGGGCCTCGTTCCTTATTTAGGGTTCCTTAGGCCAACGCCCCGACTGTACGTGTATGTGTGATTGGCGCTTGATCACGGAACATTCTGGGCTCGGGAGGGTCTCTGATTGCCAAGCCGCCCTTTAGATCCCAGGCCAGGTGCAGCATTGGAAGCCGAGGCCCGCTGTGGCTGGACAGGCCCCTTCGTTCCTTGGCAAGCGCTCCTCATGGTAGCACGATCGCTGCAGTTGGCGTTGGCGTAGGCTTTCCTCGTTTTTCCACCTGGGAGTGGCAACACACCATGGGCATCACCCGTTGCGCTGATATGCGCTTGATCAAATGAACGTGGCAGGGGGCTGCCTTGCTCGCGGAATTGCCCACGTCGCACAGTTGAGTTTGGCAGGGGAGTCCGCAAGCTTGCCCCTACGAACTAAGAAGAAACACGAGCTATGGACGCAGGATTCTGTCGCGAACTCGCCTAGGTTCCCCCTGTCCCTTCTTCAGTTCACCCAATCGTCATCACCACCACACGTATACAGCTTATTGTAATATATCAGAGTGAGGGGGCCAAGCGGTCATTCATTGTCCTTGGGTGCGTGTCTGAAGAGGGGATCCGTGGTGAGGATTCTGCTTGTTGCGTTGTTGCGTTGTTGTTTGTTTGTTTGGTGTCGTCGTCCCACCCCGCGACCCACCCCACGACCCACCCCGCGACCCACCCGCGACCCACCTCGCGACCCTTCCGCGACCCACCCGCGACCCACCCGCGACCCACCCGCCACCCACCCCGCGACCCACCCCGCGACCCACCCGCGACCCACCCCGCGACCGACCCGCAACCCACCCCGCGACCCCACACGCGACCCCCCGCGACCCGCCCCGCGACCCACTCAGTCAGAGTGAGGGGACCAAACCGTCATTCACTGTCCCTTGGTTGGGGCTGAAGTGGGGATCCACGGCGAGGATTCTGCTTGTTTTGTTGCGTCGTCCCCCCCCCCCTCACCCCACCGCGACCACCCACCCGACCCACCGCGACCCACCCCGCGACCCACCCACCGCGACCCAACCTGCGACCCACCCGCGACTCGCTCGCGACCTACCCCCGCGACCCACCCGCGACCCACCCGCGACTCACCCGCGACCCGGCCCGCGACCCACCCGCGACCCAGCGTCGACCCACCCGCGACCCATTTGCGACCCAACCCGCGACCCACCCACACTGTTTTACCAAGAAAATCTGCGCTTGCGGCGGGCTCGCTGTTTAGTTCTACACAATATGATAGCTGCACCTGCAGCGTTTTTTTCCAGAGCCTCGCAGACTGCCGACGTCCCCGCCGCCCCCTCTTATCCGAAACTACGGGGTGCTACGTAGATCTACACAAATCTATATATGTATAAATATATATATATTATATTATACAATATATATATATATACATATATATATATATATATAATAATATATATATCCGACCCTGCCTTCCTCATATGTTCTCTACAAGCCTATGTCTTGTCCTCGTCCTCGCCCCCCTCACACACACACACACGCGCGCGCGCACGCACGCACTCACGCACGCACGCAAGCACGCAAGCACGCACGAACATATGCACACACACACACGCCAGCACACACACACATACATACACACACACACACACACACACACACACACAACAACAACAACAACAACAACAACAACAACAACAACAACAACAACAACAACAACAACAACAACAACAACAACAACAACAACAACAAAACACTATCGTTTTTTTTGTTTCTCTCTCTCTCTCTCACACACACGCACACACCCACACACGCACACACCCACACAAACTCTTTCCTCCGCCCTCTCCTCCCGTTGCCCTCCCCCCCTCCCCAGCACTGGTGCCACAGGTCACACCAGCACTTCCGCTCGGAGGGCCACTCGAAGTTGATGGACGTGCAGCCCGAGGCGGGCGTGGTGGTGGGGGGGAGCAGGAGGAGGGAGGAACGAGGCAGGTGGGGAAGAAGGAGGGAGGAGGAGGGAGGAGGAGGAGGAGGAGGAGGAGGAGGAGGAGGAGGAGGGGAGGGGGGGAGGAGGAGGGGGAAGGAGGAGGAGAGGGGAAGAGGAGGGGAGAGGTAGGGAGGCTGCGTCGGATTCGACCCTCGTGCCACCAGCTCGCGGCTCTCAGGGGGGAAGGTGGAATGGGAGGAGAGTTAGGAGGAGCCAGGAAGGGAGCAGGAAGGCGGGTTGATTTGTATCGTGGTTTGCGCGTTAGTCGGGGCTCAGTGGCATGACCCCAGTGGGCCCTCAAGCAAAGGTCTTTGTCTCCCACGCAGAGCCGGTTGCGATGGTGCACGTGGCGCCGATACATTGTTGTTGTCGCTAGCGTCTTTGTGTGTGTGCGCGTGTGTGTGCGCGTGTGTGTGCGTGTGTGCGTGTGTGCGTGCGTGCGTGCGTGCGTGCGTGCGTGCGTGCGTGCGTGCGTGCGTGCGTGCGTGCGTGCGTGCGTGCGTGCGTGCGTGCGTGCGTGCGTGCGTGCGTGCGTGCGTGCGTGCGTGCGTGCGTGCGTGCGTGCGTGCGTGCGTGCGTGCGTGCGTGCGTGTGTGCGTGTGTGCGTGTGTGCGTGTGTGTGTGTGTGTGTGTGTGTGTGTGTGTGTGTGTGTGTGTGTGTGTGTGTGTGTGTGTGTGTGTGTGTGTGTGTGTGTGTGTGTGTGTGTGTGTGTGTGTGTGTGTGTTTGAGTGCATGCTGCATGCTCGTCAGCAGTAACGGCGGGCCCAGGCGGTCTCGACTGCTAAGCGGGGTGAAGGGGGGGCTGGCGGGCTCTCAGGGGGGTCCCGGGAGGGTAGAGGGGTGAGGATCCGCAGTATCAGGACGGGAGGAGGAGGAGGAGGCGGAGAACGAAGCGGAGTACGACGTTGACCTGGCATCGCTCGGACGTGTGCATGTTTCCTCGGCGAGAACCATTGAGGACGATCCTGGACCATCGAGCAAACAAAAAAACACTCACGAAACCGAAACGTGCACGGGAAATGGACGTCCGAGCGATGGCGAGCTGATGAAGCATTGGGAGAGGGAGGCGTCGGCGGAGGAGGGTCCAGCCGTGCCTCGCGGCGATCAGAGGGCACACCATCCGGAAACCCTGAGCAAGGGCTTCGAAGCTGCCCCCCGGCGCAGGGGCGACGCCTGCCATGTCAAGCTGGGGGTCGGGCCCTGAAGCAGGGAGCAAGGGTGTTCGACCGAAGGCACCAAGAAGAGGTCTGGGAGGGAAAATCAAATACAGTCGGGGCCCCGAAGAAGGAGCCCTTTTCGTTGGGGAGGGGCTCCGTGTTCCTTAATTGTTTCGCAGTTTGCCTGGGATTTTCCTTAGGTTGCCGATCGGAAAATCGAAGCTCAACTCATGGAAAAAAGGGGCCTCGTTCCTGATTTGGGGCTCCTCAGGTCAAGCCCCCGACTGTATGCACACACGCACCGTCGTCGAGTCCTGGAAAGAGACAGTGGATCACCACCCACCAAACCACCCCAACCCAACCCGAAGCCCTCAATTTGCCTTCCATTTCCAGTGGGGGGGGGGTCGGGGAACGTTGAAAAAACACATGGTATCCGTACCCCCCCCAACCCGAAATTCGGGTCAAATTCGGGTCTTCGGGTTGGGTTGGGGTGGTCTGGTAGGTAGTCAGTGGAACAACTGGGAGGTGGAGGGTAGCCTGGGCAGCTCCTGGCGGCCCCCGCTGCCGCCGCCGCCGCCTGCGGCGGAGGCGACGGCCGGCGAGGGCCGCCTGTCGAGGGCGGCCCTCGGCCTGCGCCGCCTCGGCGCAGCAGCTGCTGCGGAGGCCCCTTTGTGCTCCTTTGCGCGGCGCGGCCTCCTCGCCGGCCGTGCATGGGACGCGCGGTGTCCGCTGGCGAGGTTGCCCTGAGGTTGCCTCGGCCTCTGGCCGCGTTGTGCCGAGCACCCCGGCGTGGCCTCGGGGGTTTCACGTCTCAGACACCCTCCCCCCCAGATCTCCGACGGCGCGGAGAGAGAAGGAGGGAGAGGACGAAGTGGCGGCGGGCGGAGGAGGAGGAAGAGGAGGAAGAGGAGGGAGCCGCGGGACCAGGGCAACATCTGGGATAAGCATTAAGACCAGGGGATGGAGCTGTTTTATATTAGATTGGACACATCTCACCGCAAAAGGCTAGGACGGCATAAGGAGGAGGACACCACCAGGCCTCCAGCAACCCACTCGGCGGGGACTGAACACCCAGTGGCTAGGCTCCAACACCTCCCTTCGAAGCTTGAGACCAGGGGATAGAGAGAGAGAGAGAAGGAGGAGAAGAGAGAAAGGGGCGGAGGAGGAGGAAGAGGAGGAGGAGGAGGAAGAGGAGGAGGGGAGGAGGAGGAGGAAAAGGAGCAGCAGCAGGAGAAGGAGGAGCAGGAGGAGGAGCAGGAGGAGGAGGAGCAGGAGGAGGAGGAGGAGTAGGAGGAGGATGAGGAAGGGAAAGGAGGAGGAGGAGGAGGAGGAGGAGGAGGAGACGGAGGAGGAGTTGGAGGAGGAGGAGGAGGAGGAGGAGGAGGAGGAGGAGGAGGAGGAAGGGATAGGGAGGAGGAGACAAGGGGATTGGATGAACCGAGAAGAAGAGAAAGGCATGCCCTTGCTGTGAGCGCCGGACGATACGTCCCACCGCTCAGCGGGCGGCAGCGTCCTGCTAGGCTATGTCTAGGTGCTGCAGGCTCGCAGGCTGAAACGCATACTACACTAATTGCTCTTTCCGCGTGACCTGGATTTATTTGGGGCGCTCCAAAAAGGGCCTTGCCTTCGAGGATAGAAGGAGGTGCCATCTCTTCTGCGGCGGAAGCCGGCGGAAGGTCGGCGGAAGTAAAACGAGGCCGCCTCCGCCCGCGGAAGCTCGGCGGAAGGCGGCGGAAGTAAAACAATCATTCCCAAAAGATGAAAACGTTTTTGGGTTCAGAGTTTCCGAAATCCGCCGTTTCACCAGTGAGTGAGCGGCTCGCGTCGACCGCTTTCTTCACTGCGTACACGTGGGCATGCTCGACAATATCGCAGAACCACGCTGTTCTCCAAACTCCAGCAGAGTGTGGGCAGACTCTGGCATTCGAAACCTGGGCCGTGGGTTTGAAAACCTCACACTCATGCCGCACACAGCGTAGTCCTCGATGGAGTCGTGGCCGCCACAGTGCTGGCAACATCGGCAGCGACCTGTACTGTTCTGAAGCCAGCCTGGAATGCACCAGCCAATGCAGCACGTGTTGATCAAATCGAATGTAGATGTTGTGTGGTCGACCATATTTCCAAGGCGCATGAAGCAGCTCTCTCCTTCTGCCTTCAAATAACCAACGTTTGGATTCTAGACGCTTCGCGTAACCCCACCAGCCCATCCAAAAACGATGCTCAGAGGAATTGCCTCGATCAGCGAAGTGGGCAGCACGCAGAGGAAGGTCACCCCAGTGGAGGCCACTTGGAGCGTCTTGGGGGGCTCTTGGCGGTCCCGGACGCCTCTTCCTCTTAGAGCGTCTTGGGTGCCTCGGAGAGCTTCTTGGGGCATCTTGGGGGTCTCTTGGGAGCCTCTTGGAGGCCTCTTGGGCGCCTGTTGGGGCCTCCTGGGGCCTCCTGGGCGCCTCTTGGGGCCCTCTTGAAGCGCTCTTGGGAGCCTTGGGAGCTCTCTTGGAGCCCTCCCTCTTCGGCCATCTTGGAGCCATCTTGAGGCCTCGGATGGCCATCGGAAGCGAAAAGGCGAGAAAGCCAAAAACATTGATTGCCCTAAGGTTTTGGGAGGATGTGTGCCTATTCGGGGCCGCCTGGGGGAGCTCTTTGTCCACTTGGAGCCGTCTTGGAGCGGTCTTGGGGCCTCTTGGAGCATCGTGGGAGCCATCTTGAGGCATCTTGGGATAACTCGAGCCATCTTGGAGGTCATCTTGGGCTATCCCAGGCGCTCTTTGGAGTCATCTTAAGCAGTGCCCCCCCTCCAGGAGGCCAACATGTGGCCAACACCTTGGTAACATCAATGATCTTGGCATTCTCGCCGAGGCCTCTGGGGGCGCCTGGGGTGTCTCTGGGAGGCCTCTTGGGGCCTCTTGGGGGTTGGGGCCATCTCGGAGAAGGTCGATCAAAGAAGGGGAGGTCCTCAATTACGTCCCCCGCCACCCCAAGAGGCCAACATAGGGCCAAGGCCTTTGTAAAACCAATGAGTTTGGCTTCCTCGCCGAGCCCGTTTTGGACGCTCCAATCCCTCGCGAACCCCCTTTGTTCAGGTCCAGGGGAGGGGGTAGGGAGAGGGGTAAACCCCTCCCCGAAGGGGAAGAGGGAGGGGTGGAAGAGGAAACGCCTTAAACCACCGACGCCCAGAGGGCTGGTGGGACATGAGCAAGCTCGTTATTCGTGCCGATTAGCGCATAATTGGCAGGAGAGATTCGTAAATCTAGGAGCTTCGCGTAATCCCACCAGCCCATCCAGAAACGATGTCCAGACGAGTTGCCGTGATCAGGGATGTGGATGAGCATAGAGTGGAATAAAGGGTTGGGTACGACGTCGTACCCAAAGAAGGGGAGGATGGAGGAGGAATCGGAGGTGGAGGTGGAGGAGGAAGAGTAGGGAGAGCAAAAGGGGGAGGAGGGAGGAGCAACGAGGAGGAATGGGTGGAGGGGGAAGGAGGAGTAGGAGGAAGAAGAGGAGGAGGACGAGGAGGAGGTCAAGCAGAAAGACCAGAAGTCTCTTGGATGCCCTTCGGAGCCTCCTCGGATTTCTTCCGAGAGTTTCTTGACATTTTCTTGAAGTGTTTTGAGGGTCTCTTGGCCGTCCCAGGTGCCTCCTGGGGCGTCTTGGGTTCTTTTGGGGAGCCTCTGGGGGGCTCTTGGGGGACACTTGGGAGCCTCTTTGGAGCATTTTATGTTAATCTTGGGGGCCTCCTGGGGCCTCCTGGGCACCTCTCGGGGCCGTCTTGGGGCACCCTTGGGAGCCTCAGGGGCCATCGG